ACTTAGTAAAAATTTAGCGAAACTAAAGGTTTTACCGTTTTGCCAAATCCAAAATGAGTTTAGACAAGCAACTTTAGATGCGGCATTTATTAATAAAAAAATTAATTTTTATTAATTTTTATATAAAAATGCCACCCTGAAAGACGGAAGTGGTATTTATTAATAAAAATTTAATTTTTATTAATTTTTTATACTAAAATGCCGCCCGAAAGATGGAAGTGGCATTTATTAATAAGAAATTTAATTTTTATTAATTTTTTATATTAAAATGCCACTCTGAAAGTCAGATGCAGCATTTATTATTAAAAAATTAAAATTTAATAATAAAATACTGCCCCAAAAGTCAGACGCGACATTTATTAATAAAAAATTTAATTTTATTAATTTTTATATAAAAATGCCGCATCCAACTTTCGGGGTGGCATTTATTATTAAATAAATTAATGTTTAATAAAAAAATTCCACCCCGAAAATCAGATGCGGCATTTATTAATAAAACAATTAATTTTTATTAATTTTTTATATTAAAATGCTGCCCCAAAAGTCAGATACAGCATTTATCATTAAAAAAATTAAATTTTAATAATAAAATGCCATCCTGAAAGTCAGACGTGATATTTATTAATAAAAAAATTATTTTTATTAATTTTTTATATAAAAATGCCAATCTAAACGTTGGAGGTGGATTTTTTGTTAAAAAAACAAAATTATTATTTTTTAACATTAAAACGCTGTTCTGAACGTCAAAGACAGATTTTTGTTAAAAAAAACAACAAAATTGTTTTTTTAACATTAAAACGCCATTTTGAACGTCAGAGGCGGATTTTTGTTAAAAAAATTTTTTGATCTGTCAGATACAGATACATATTCAAATTTGTCAGATTCGGATCGAATCAGATTCAGATTTTTCAGATTCGGATCAAATTGGATTCAGATTTTTCAGATTCGAATCGAATCAGATTTTACCCAAATCCGATCTGATCTGATCTGTGCAGAATACTAATCTGGACTATTTGACGATTCGTAATCATATATCAAAAAGAATCTGGAAAATAGAAAAAAATATCAAATCAGAAAAGTATCTCAAAAATCTTTATATAGAATTGCTAAAAGCGATTAAGAATCCTGAAGACTATAAATCCTTAAAATTAGCAATCTCCAAAGCATAAGCTGAACTTACTAAGAAAGAAGCTAGTGATAAAAAGGTTTGGGATCACTGTCATATCACAGGTAAATTCTGAGATGCGTCTCATAATAATTGCAATTTCAAACTTCAAATTGAGTTATGGAAGACACCAATCCCAATTATCTTCCATAACTTTCAGGAATATAACTCTCACTTGGTCTGTAAATCTGTTAGACACTTAGGTAATTCTCTTCGAATTACTGTTATTGCTAAAACATTTGAGTGATACAAATCTATGAAGGTAGGTCAACTTAAGTATATTGATAGTATGCAATTTATGAATTCTAGCTTGGCCTCTCTTACAAAGAATTTGGGTGATGACTATCCAATTACAACTGAGTATTTCAAAAATAAGGCTATTCTTCTGAATAGATTTTCTTAGCATACCGCAAAGGAATCTTTTTTCATAAATACATAGACTCTTATAACTGATTTATAGAAATAAACTTACTTCCGATTCATGAGTTTCATAGTATTCTTGGAGGAAAGATTTCACAAGAGGATTATAATCATACCCAAAATGTATGAAAAGAATTTGGATGCAAAAACTTGGGAGAATATAATGATCTCTATCTCAAAATAGGTGTACTTAGTCTAGCAGATGTCTTGACAATATTTAGAAAGATATCCATGTATCATTATGGCCTTGATTCTAGCTATTATGTATCTGCACCTTCTTTATCCTAGGATGCTATGCTTAAGATAACCAAGGTCAAGATCGAACTATTTATAGAAATAGCAATGCATGACTTCATTGAAAAAGCAAAGCGAGGTGGTATTGCTATGACAGTATATAGACATTTTCAAGCAAATAATCCTAGTATGGGAGAGGAATTCAATCCATCCCAACCTACAATATGGATTTTATATGTTAGTATGAATAATTTTTATAGCTGGATCATAAGCCAATTTCTTCTAATTGGAAATTAAAAGTGGATTGCTAGTCAAGAATATCTAAAAAATAATACCAAGATGCAAAAGAAATATCTCGAAATGATTTTCAAGACTGGAGCAAATGCATCATGTGGTTTCTTCTTAATGATTAATTCCTATTTCACCTAAAGACTCACAACTATTTGAGGGACTTATCTCTAGCTATGGAAAATGTTGCAGTAAAAAAGGATATGCTATACCTTTACAATATCAAGCTTGTGAATGATATGAATAATGGACGATTCTATGCAACAAAAAAATTTGTCACTCATATTAGTCCACGAAAAAATTATATCATTCATTATCAGGAGCTCCAGTATTATATAAAGTTGGACATGATTATAGATGAGGTTACAAAGAACTTATCATTTAACCAAATGAACTGGTTGGCTTCATATATTACAAAAAATACTAAATTATGCCAAAAAGCTAAGAATGCATTTGAAAAAGACTTCTTCAAGCTTATAAATAATTTGATATATGGTAAGATTATGAAAAATATTAGAAAATACCAGGATGTTAAGATCATGGCCTATAATAATAAGTCAGATGAGAAGAAGTTTCTCAAGAAAATCAAAAGCCCAAATTTCAAGTATGGTAGACCATTTGGAGATATGCTAGTAGGTGTATATATAGGAAAAGCTATTGTAGTTCTCAATGAGCCAATCATTATTGGAGCATCAGTTTTAAGTCTTAGTAAGCTTTTAATGTACCGCTTCTGGTATGATTATGTGAAAGATAAATATGGGAACAAGACAAAGCTTGGATATATGAATACAGACTCCTTTATATTCATAGTTGAGATTGAAGATATTTATAATAATATGGCAGAATAACTAGAGCTCTTTGATCTTAATAATTCGAAGACTATTGGATTTTTCAAAGATAAGACTTCAGAAGTGTGATTACTGAGTCATTTTACATTCAAGCAAAATCATACTACTATGTCTTAGCTGATAAATCCACAAAGTCAAAGCATAAGGGGGTCAGCAAAAAGGGTATAAATGAAATGGCAGAGAATACCTATCCTAAAAGTAAATCCCTATGGCTCAAGTATATCATGACTGTCTATTTCAGAAAAAGGTATTTTATGCTAAGAATATAAGATTCTGATTAAAAGATCATGTTATATCTTTGGTTGAGTCTGAGAAAAAGGCTCTTTGTCTTATAGATACTAAGCGCTAAATATTATCAGATGGGATAACTGGCATTTTTTATGATCATTTGCGTATCCAAGTATTCAAGAATATGATCAAGCGTGGCATAGCTGAAAGAGGCCAAAATGAATGTATATCTCACATATCTAGCTTACCCCAATAAGCTATTAGTGAAAAGGTATTCTATATCTCCTATAGTCTTGACCGAAGGAATGTTATTATTATATATTTTTTTCTTGTATAATAAATATTTGGTTACAGAATACTTCTCTATAATAGAAAGCAAACAAGAGCAATTATCTAATAACACATATAGCGAGTATGAGAAAGGCATAGTAAAAGAGCTAATGAATTTATCAAAACTCGATCATCATACAAGAACGTCTTCAGCAATTGATAAAATCCAGTATTTTATTGAAGAAATTGTAGCATTAATGATAAAAGTGGATAAACTTAATTCTCAGTTCTAAAGGCTTGAAAGAACTGTAAATTGGATAAAAAATTATGTAGAAGAGCAAACTGGCTTAGAGCCTGATAAAGAGCTAACAGATTCATCTGAGTCTGATTCAGATTAAGAGATAAAGAAAAAATTGTAACAGCTTCACAATATCACATTTCGTAAAATTAATTTACGATTTGATAATTAACTTCTAACATATGATGTGACACCGTAAAACTTTCCAACTGTCAAGGCTAGCATCTGCTATATTTGATGGATTAATAAGTGGATTATTTTGTAGATTTAAAATAATTTGCTGGGAATTTATTTCTTAAGCTTTCCATTTTTGATATCGGTTAAATACCCAGGCTCTATTGAATTCTGCTAAGTTAGCTTCAACTTTGTGCCTTCGATTTATTAACTGAAGGCCTACCTTTTTTTGTAATCCTATATGGTTATGCCTTTCTGCTCTCTGAGTCCTAAACCATCATACCTGTCATTCATTTGCTTCTTTATTATATGCTAAAGTTAATAATTGAGCTCTTCAAAATCATTCATTTCTAATATTTGCCATATCATTCATAAGGTTATTGACCTGTTTATTAGCCATATTAAGCAAACTTTGATAATATAAGACCTCATTTGCTATCCTTTGCATATGAGCACAAACAGTTGTTAATATTATTTATATACTATTCAAGGTATTTTTAGGGTTAAATAATCTATCTCTATTAACATATAATTCAATATGGTCTATAGCTATAGCAATATTTCTTAAAAGTTCTGATAACGCCATTGGGGAACTATTTATTTGGGATAATTTTTTATCTGTAATCTCCCTAATTTGCTTCTTAAGCTATTCAACCATGTCTTCTAGCCTTAGAATATGGATATCTTGAGCAGTACTTGCATTATCTTTATGCCTTAAATTCTGTAATGCGTTATGAAGACATTATTTAAGAGATTTTATCTCAGACTTAAGAGATGCTATCTCACCTTCGTGAGCTAATATTTCTGAATCCTGGTGAGATAATGACCTATAACAGGTTTCTGGCTCTTTGCTAAGTGTTTTGAGTTTTTTTATCCTTAAGTTTGTTTTCAGCTATTTTATCTTTCAATTTTTTGCGTAACTCTTTATTAGTATCTAAGATTTCAATATAAACTGGCTCTATGACATTGATTCCTATTATACAAATAAATTCAGGTGAAGCTCAAAAACTTGATGTATCTATTGATTTGCAAAAGATTTATTACCAACTTTCAGGCTATCAGAGAATTGCGAAAAAATTGTATGAAGCTTCTCTAAAAGTTGGGTTCAATTTTACTTTAAATGAAGTGTATGATTGGCTTGAGAGACAAGCTGTGCATCAGATTCATAAAC